ACACTGGAACTATTAATTCAAGGCTTCGTTTTGATCAACTATCCTTAATTAAAGATTCATAGCGAAGCTGGTTGAAGTGATTTGTCACAGCAAATTCAGGCTGTGATAAAGCAAATAAAGGCCTGACCAAGTACTAATTATTTAGTACCAAATGTGTAATATATTATATATTAATAAATAAATTAATAAATTTTTTTAATAAACTTTAAAATTTTAAGTTTTACATTGAGCCAAAAGCATTCAGAGACTTTTAACGAAGGTCTATATTATAGTTTATTATATTGCATTTGCATTAATCAAGTAGGATAATAATCTATAAATTTAGATATCTAAAATATCATATGGGATTTTTATAATAGAAAGTGAGATAATAGTCAGAAAAAATCAATTTTACTTTTATATGACAAATATGATTTTTAAGTTAAAATATATTCAAATTTAGCATTAACTTAATTTTTATTTTTTTTAGCTGTTTTTCTCTTTTCTATTGTAAAGATTCCATATAAATCAAATATTTAAATGAGAAGATGGTAGAGATTAGCTAAAATTTATAACTACATATAATAACTTATTTATTAATCCTCATAACAGATTACAATTATAGGACTAATATGTAAATGTTAACTTAAAGTTAATCCTTAGTATTTACGTAATTCTAAAATACAATTTCAAAATATATAAGCAAAAGGGAACCTAGATAATGACTTTTTTAGAGATTTTTAATTAGATTCTTAATAAGAGTAATCCTGATGGAAATTTACTTATAATGATACAGAAACTGTTGCTCAGTAGTATTGTAGAAAGAAACTATTTTCTGCTAGGTCTTTGCTGAAATAGAGAAAATTGTAGCTATGTAGCAGCTACATATTTGCCATTTAATATAGTAAACATATTATTACTTTAACTTTTTCATTATATAACGATACATATTTTATATAGAATCTGTTTTATTAATGTATAGAAATTTTAAAGTAAATTTATAAAATATTTAGAGTATCAATAAAGTAATTATATAAATTATTTAAAGTAATAATAAAATAATTATATAAATTATTTAAAGTAAATATATTAATTATGTAGCATAATTAATATTGTTACGATAATTTTGTAACTTCAAATAAAATCTCAAAAAGGTAAATAAAACTAAGATAATTACTCAAGGAATTACTGGTGTGGATTTACAATAACGTCAAAAAATTATTTTCAATATAAAATATGTGAAATAAATACAAAATAGATTCAAAGATATTTTAAAGATTACACTTCAGAGACTCTAAGTCAATACAGTGAATTAATACAATATCATATAATAAGTTTACTAATAATAATTAAAGGGATTATATGAATGCAAAGGGTCACAAATAATTTATAACAGTTTCAAAGGGTTGTGAAAAATAAGTTTTATACTTAGTTAATTATACTTCTTTATTAATATAATATATAAGTTCAATACCTAAAAGATTAACATCTCGTTGATGCTGAGACTCAAAGAAAATACAGAGATATTTATATATGTTGAATAAATAATAAAATAAACTAAATTAAATATATTGAAGAAAATAAAGTTGCCATTTCATCAGGCAATAAAGTTGCCATATCAATAAGATTACCAGATCTGCAGGCAATTAAATGGATATACATGATATGATTATCAAGGGCAACTAAATTGACATCTAGTGATTTGTATAATTGATCGATAGCAATAAAATGAACAAAATGATCTTTATAAAGATCCACATAGCAATAAAATTGACTTCATTCTCTACTAATTAAATCTATCTAAAATTTTATTCGTCACAATATACAGTTTATTTACAGTAAATACATATATTTTTTAAATGTAAATTATATCATATATATACTTAAATAGCTTTAAAAAAGAAACAATTTTTTAAATAATGAATATTTTCTAAATGATTATTACCCTTATATATTGAATCACAATCATGTATAAAATACACCTTTTGAATTTTATCTACAACTATTAAATAAAAACTTTGCGCTAAGTATTATTATGATAAAGAGAATAAATTGGATATTTCAATTTATTATAGTTTCGATAGGTATCTTCAAACCAATTAATATATATAAATAGATAGTAATTTCTATTGTTACTCTTGTGCTTAAAAATACCTTTGATCATTATATAGCTTTCACTATAATCAATCACTTGAATCGTTATTATATCATTCTTATTTAGATGTTGTATTTTAGAGTTTTGTATTTCTATGTAAAATACATATTCATAAAAGTAACAGGTTTATTGATTAATGATGTGCGATACCTAAAGCTATTGTAAGCTAAAGCCAAATCAGTTTGAAAAGAAATTGTGTCAATTTCTATATTTGTATTGCAAACTGATAATGGCTTTCTTAGCTTTATATTTTGGATGCGACTAGATTGTGAATATACTATAAAAAAATGTTAGCATATTATCTTAATAAAAAAAACATTATTATTACCTTTTAATTCTTTACAATCTACATCTAAATTCTTCATAAAAACTAATTATTAAATAAATACTCAGAATTTTAAGATATATTCATAAAAATAGCACTATATTGTAAGTTCTGAGGGTCGATTCTACCATCTGCAAGATGTTAAATAGATTTTAGAGTTGTATACTATTTTAATAAGTCTAAATCTACATTCTTACAATTTGTATGTGAAACAAGATTTTTAAAAATCTTATAAAACATTTCTTTCATGCTGACTTTGATATTTATAAGAGTTTCAAAGATTCTTATATGTCGAAGTAATGATAATTAGTGTGAAGATTAAGAAGACTTACAAATTCATCAAATAACTATATTTAATATAATCTAATTTATATTTAATTGAAAAAATGATTTATAAGAACATAGTTAATAAATTTTAGTCTAAAATAATATATTCTAGAACAAAATTAATAAAAATAAAAATAAATGAATAAAAATATACCAAATATATGTTTACATATTATTTAATTTCTTAATATTATAAATTTTATCTTAGTTAATATTTGTCATTCTTTTTTTAGATACTTTTCAAGCTTTTCAAAATCCATATTTATTAACGAAATTTTAAATGTTAGATATGAATATTTTGCTATAATTACTTAGCATTTAATAATATTATTAACCACTTTATTGCGATACAAATTTGTATATTCTTATATCTTTACTAGTTCTTGTAGTTTCAAGTAATTAATAGTCAAAAATCTATTTAATATAAGTAGCATTACTATTTCTAGTCACAGACAGTCTAACATTATAAAGCTTTTTATATGACTAATAGGATTTAAAAGCTTTGACTATTGATAAGGATATTCAAATGACTTCTAAATACTAAGAATTTTTGTTCACCTTCTGAAGATAGTAATACTATTATTAATTTAAATAATTTTAACATTTTACTAGCTACTAGATGATATATATCCTGCGATAACTATAAATGTCATTCTTGTTGAAGCTGATTAAGAATTGAAAAACTTGTTTGTAGACCATATTCTTTGGTAATAATTTTTTATTGCTGAAGTGTTAAAGCTTCAAAAATTCATCAAATTTGATGTTAGTAATATGATGATAACAGAAGATACTAGTAATATCTAATCTTTTATCTGTTACATTTTCTTTCAAAATTTGATATATTCTACAATCTTTAATAATACTATGTCATTTTATTTCTGCAAGGTCATTACCTTGTGAATGGTCAGCAGTTATATATCCAATGTTGACAATAATCTAACAATTTTCTCTTTGGATATTCATTATCACTCCTTGTTTAAGTCATTTCATATCTGAGATAAATGGTTGTAAAATCATTGAAATTATCACCAAAAGGAACAAATCCTAAAACAAAATAGTTACGAAAATGTTTTTTTAGATCAAATGGCATATTCTCTAGTTATATATATACATCACCTAACAAATGATAGATATTTTGAAAAGTTTCAAAGTTATTATAGTAAATATTAATAAATAACTTTAAACTTGAAGATTATTATAACATAGTGATAGAAAATTCAGAATAGAATATTCATATAGATATATGTAGTCAAGGTTTATATTGTATAGTTTCCAATAACCATTATTTTTATATAAAATTTCTTTAATGTAAAGACCATTAGGAATATTTGAACTGCAGATAATTGAAACCTTTATCATACTAATTATATTACAAGAATTTATAATAATATATTCTTCTTCCAAATACTAATCTATTAGTCATAATTGCAATTTATATGTAGCTGATCGTGTATTATAATAAAAATTATTTGGTAATTTATTATAAATATAAATCTGTTAAATTTTTATTTGAAGTTTATCATTAATGGATATTATTGATCTTATTCGTCCAAATCTTTGATTATCATTTTTTTTATAAATAATAAATTCGCTTGGATGATAAATTTCTAAATAAAAAGAAAAAATAAATTATTAATATATTTATTTATAGTAATAATAAATTCAATAAATTAAAATATCTGTTCTGATTATTATTTTATCTTACCAAATAAAGAAGATTCTGCCCAAAGATCATCATACTAGAAATTCTTTTTTTCTACTTATAAACCAAATATAATATATTATATAATAATGGATATCATGAATTGATAAATAATAGCAAGATTTTGTTTCTTTAGATTTAAATGATGTTTTTTTGATTTATTTTAATAGTACATGCTTGTATTAGCATTATTGATAATTCTTATTTTCTCTGCTGAAACTTTCTTATATTCTTTATAACATTTTTTACATTAAACTTTAAATGTTATAATATATTTACCAAATCAGTATATGTGTTCATTACTATGTTTTAATATAGATTTTAATGTAGATCATTATATACTTTAATGTAAATCAGTATATTCTTAAATAATATAATAATAAATAAAGTTGAGACTTACATATATTATATTTTGATATCCAACAAAATAATAAGCAGAAGTTAAATTTTTAAAATAAGAAGTATTAGATATATAATTACTATTTAGTAATGCATCAACTATTTGATCTTTCTCATACTTTATTACAAATGAATAATGCATTAAATGTTAAAAGTATAGCAGTAGAATGAGTAAAAGCTAGAATTACCTCATCTTTGTCATTATTATTAATGATATCATTAATTATTCCTAAATTATAATATTCTTTATCTACATTATTACTATCATAATTACTATTATTATCTTTTTTTTTTTCATTATTATAATATTTTTGTAAATATTTATGATTTTTTCTTCATTTTTTAATAGTTATGAAAAAAATCTTAAATAATAATGATGGTAATGATAATAGTAATTATGTTAACAATAATGATAATTATAACAATAATAAATTTACTGTGTGAAATATTTTCATCATTGTAATTATTCCCATTTTTATCATTTCTATCATTAATTTTATTATCCTTATCATCTTCATTATTATTATCATTGTAAAAATCCTCATTATTATCATTACATTTATTATAGTTATTATTATTATTTTGTCTTTGTGATTATAATCATTATTTTATTATCACTTTCAAAGTCACTATTAATTTCTATTTCATCATTTTTATTACTAATTTTTGTATCAAATACTATAGAAAAGAAACAAAAAAATTTTAGATAGTATTTATTATATAATACTGATTAGTTTATATTATTATTTATATGAATTGTATTTTTTAAGAATATTATGTTTAGAAAATTTGCGTAAAGAGAAAGGTTTAGTTAATGAAAAACAAATTTTATGAAATTTATAAAATTAAGAAAAGAATAAAAAGAGAGAGAATAAAAGAAAAGTGAGAAAGTAATTTTTGTAAAAAGTCAATAATAAAAAGAAATGTAATAAATTTAAAAATGGTAAAATTTAAAAAAAAATTATTAATTAATAATTTTTAACGATTGATCATTATGATAAAATCATATAATTATATCATAAGATAATACTAAATAATATCATCAGAATAATTTAAATAAAAAAGTCAAAAAAAAACCATTTTTTTATTTAATTAGTTTTATATAAAAAATATACTAATAATATATAAAAAAGTCTATTATATTCTTAATTTGATAAGTTCGTAAAAAACAAAGTCTATTTATTCTTAATTTAGTAAGATCTATTATTGTTATAAAAACTAATCTAAAATTAATTACTTTAGCATAGCTAATCTAATTTGGTTATATGTGTGGTTTATTACATCATCCAGTATTATAAAATTTATTTACAATTTAATAATCAATATATTCATTTTACTAACTCTTAATTTTACAATTTCAATAGATGACTAAAAACTAAAAAATCAGCTAGTATTACAGGATCAAATTATTCAAATAAAAATTTATTAGATTATAATTATTGAGAAAGTAATTTATTAGATAGCAAAATAATAATTACATAGGAGAATATATTAATTAAGGTATAATAAATCATGTGATTAGGTATAGTAAATGTTTGTAGAATAAATATAGTTAGAATAGATAAATGATATAATTAGTTAAATAATGTAATTAGCCAAATACTTGTAATTAACTGTATTTAAAATATAAAAGATGGAATACAAAAGACAAAAGACGAAATACTGAAAAACAGATATAAAAAATGAAAGTACTGATAAGAATAACAGAAATACGAATGACAAATACATACAGATAATAACGAATAGTTCAGAATTATCCAGCTATACTATAACTATATCAATTATTATAGTTAGCTTAGTATTATATGATATTTTCAAATAAATAGCCAGAGAAAAACAACCAAAGAGGAGAAAGATCTTTTGGTTCAGTTAACAGTCTTTTGAGAAAATTTAAAGGAAATTAGAAAATTATTATCTCTAATAAAAATAACCTTTATTCATATTAATCTTTACTTGTATTCATAAGGAATCAATACAGTAGCGGTCATAAGTATCCGACTGCCCGAGATCGTCCAAAATTATTATATAATTACCCCTTAAATTTTCCAGAAATATAATATAACACAATACATGATCACCTGTAAATTTATAAGTGTCGATGATACAA